CTTCTTTGAGATGACATCATAACCTGCCCAGATTTCACAGTATCTATAACACAGTACTGTTATTATCTATTTATTGTCTTATCTACCCAACTAGACTAAGATTAAAGACCACATTATTCATCTCTGTATCACCAAGTGAAGAACAAAGTCTAGCACAGAATTCGTATTTAGAATGTTTTGAGAAAGTGGGAAAAATAAACAAATAAACAACTATAGAATTCCTTAGAATCTACATACTATGTATATTATTTGTTCTACTAACTATACAGCTAGCTCCTAAAGGGTACACATGACCACAGTTCTATATCCTCCAGAGTGCCTATCACAGTAGTATAAGTGAACAGCCCCCCTACTTTAGATACTCCTGCCTACTCACAGGAAAAAATTGGAGAAAAGCATAATTTAAAGTACTTTGTTGACTAAAATACAAGATACCACATTCTCAATGAAAGGATGAAAAACACTAAGGTCATAAATCTAAAACTGGACTCATTTGACATCCCTTCTCATTTCCTCTGTGTCTAGATATTCTAGAATAACGTAAGCAGCATACCCTTGTTAAAGAACTTGAGATCTGACAACAGAATATTTAGGTTCAGTTTTATTTTTAGACATGATAATGGCTATATGATTATATATTTTAAATTTTTAACACTTAGAGAGAGAACTGAAACTTTGAAATAAAATGTTATGATGCTAGGCCCTCCCTGGTGGCGCAGCAGGTTAAAGCACTGCACTAAGAAGCTGAAACCACTTCCGCATGAGTTCGATTCCCGCCTGCCCCGGAGGTGACCACATGGCGTGGCAGACCTCTCCTGACCCGCCCGCTGCTCCCCTCAGCAGTGTACTTCGTCGATCTGCCTGTTCTGCTCACCACTCTGTCTCTGGTGAAGTCTTTTGCCACCTCTGAGTCTCTGGCCTGTACCCCAGTTCTGTATGTACAAATAAATAAATCTTTTAAAAAAAAATGTTATGATGCTAGATATTTGTTTCACAAGAATCTGGTACAGAGGGTAAGGGTAGTGGAAGTAGACTGTGTGGGGAAGATTTCAGGAGGGAAAGGAATGAAATAAGTTTGGCTGTGAAATAATTGTTGGGTCCTTCCTGGTAGTCTAGGGACTAAGCCTCAGCACTATCACCATGAAAGCCCACCTCTAAGGCCTGAGTCTGACCCCCAGTCAAGGAGCTGACCCACATGGTGCAGCAGACCTCTCCAGTTTTGCTCACTGCTTCCCTTAGCAGTGTATTTCAGCAGATCCACTTTTTCTGTTCTCCACCCTGTCTCTGGTGAATCATCTCTGCACCTTTGGCCTAGACCCCAGTTCTTATATGCATAAATAAATAAATCTTTTTTTAAAATTAAAAAAAAAAAAAGATCACTAAGAAACTGAAAATGTCTCAAAAACAGATGCTGTGGTTTCTCTCTTGTTTTACACTAAATCCCCTAGAATGTTCCACAGGCATTGCCAGATACTGGAATAATTAACAGATTTGTCATCTCTGAATTTAAGAGTCTCAAAATCTGAAGGAGGTAGACACATATGACAATCTAAGAGCTAATGTGTGCTAACAGGACACTGTCTGATGCCCAGAACAATGCCTGCTATACAATAGTAGTTGTTATCTGGGTAAAAAATGTCACAAAAGCACCAATTCATTCATTCAACAAATATTTATTTTCCAGGAGCTGTCCTTGGTGCTGCAGATGCAGTGTCATAATTTACACAATAAAAATCCTTGCTTAAGAAGTTTACATTCTATTAAAGGGAAATGGACAAAGGACAAAATAAACGAAAAAATTAAATAGACTTTTAGAGGATGGTAAGTGCTATGGAGAAAACAAAATTAAGGAAGGGGGTTAGGAGATGCTGGTGTTAGGAAGAAAGTTCCAATTTTAAATAGAAAGATAAAAGAAGGCTGTAACAAGAAAGTGGTCTTTGAGCAAAGACATGACTAAAATATGGAACAAACATCTGAGGAAAGTGTTTGAAGCGGAAGTAAGTGGAAAGGCTGAGGATGGTGTACAGTTTGCAGAGAAAAAGGCAGACTAAGCCATAGGGCAGTGGCATGGAGAGGGGAATCTCCTCCTCCCAGGTGAGGAAACAGCCTTTAGAAAACTAGAAGCACCTTAATTATGCTAGAATATTATATATATAAAGGAGAGAATGTTTTATGTCTTATGTAAAATATTTAAAGACATTACATGCATCCTGATAAGTGCAATATGAAGTACAAATTATCATCTATAAAATATTCCTAAAACTGGCAAAAATGCACTTAATCTCAACCTAACAAAACCAATAGATACAATTCCAAATCACAGTTAATACAGGGGGGTAGAGGAACAACTTAATCCCCAAGGAAGTAAACAAACACATAAAACAAGACATCTTACAAAACTGGCCCTCCCTGGTAATGCAGTGGGCTAAAGTACAGCACTGCAAGCGAGCCACAGCTGCTTCAGTAGGAGTTCCATTCCCAGCCCCACAGGTTACCCAGCAGCAGACCTCTCCTGACCCACCCGCTTCTCCCCTCAGCAGTGTACTTCATCGATCTGCCTGTTCTGCTCCCCACTCTGGTGAATCCTCTCACTGCACCTGCACCTCTGGCTTGTACCCCAGTTCTGTATGCATAAATAAATAAATCTTTAAAAAAAGAAAGAAAGCTAATGAACAGCCATATACCAGAGACATTTTGTGGGGGTGGAGTGGGGAATGATATCAAAAACGGGGGTGGGGGGTGGGGAGGGAAGTGCACGGGACTATGGTGATGGCACACGGGTGATTCGGTGATGGGAAGCCCACAGGGATTACAATTGAGATAAAAACAAAAAAGTGTACAAAATGATGTAAAAATAGGTTATATTATAAAAAAAGAAGTAAATCCATTACTCTAAACATTAAAAAAAAAAGAAAGAAAGCATGGATGGAACTGGAAAAGATCATGCTTAGTGAAATAAGCCAGAAAGAAAAGGGAAAACACTGATGGTTTCTCTCATAGCAAGAATAGCAGGGATATAATGGAACAGGCAAGAAAATAATGGTAATGATGAACAGCTATATACCAGAGACATTTTGTGGGAGTGGAGTGGGGAATGGGATCAAAAACAGTGGCGGGAGGGAAATGCACTTGACTATGGTGATGGCGCATAAGTGATCTGGTGATGGGAAGCCCAAGAGGATTGCAAATGTGATGGAAAAATGCACAAAATGATGTAAAAATAAACATATATATATATATATATATATATATAAAAGAAATGTGCCAAGAAAGAACAAAACTGCGAGCATCATACTCCCAGATTTCAAACTATATCACAAAGTTATAGTACTCTAACAGTATGGTACTGTAATAAAAATAGACACACAGATCAATGGAAAAGAATCCAGAATCCAGAAAGAAATACATATATATGGTCAATTAATTTATGACAAAGGTGTCCAAAAAAGAGTGAGAAAAGGACAGTTTGTTCAGTAATAGGAAAACTGGATAGCCACATGCAAAAGAATGAAACTGGGCCACTATTTTACACCATACACAAAAACTAACTCAAAAAGGATTAAAGACTCGAATGTAAGACCCAAAACAGTAAAATTGCCAGGGAATAAAAAGATGGCAAGTGCCGTGACATAGATCTTGTGGTATTTTGGAGATTGTAACAAGTGCAACTACATTAAACTAGAAAACTTTTGCACAACAAAGAAAACCATTAACAAAATGAAAAGATAACCTATGAGCTAGAAGAAAAATAAATGCAAGTAGTATATCTGACAAAGAGTTAATGTTTAAAACAGATGAAGAATTCCAACCACTCAATAGCAGGAAAACAATTCAATTTTAAAATTGTGTAGAGGACAATACACATTTCCCCCAAAAAAGACATAGAGATACCTACAGGTACATGAAAACCTAATTAATCATCAGGGGAATACAAATCAAAACCACTCATTGGAAAAGCTAGTATCAAAAAGACAAGAAATAACAAGTGCTAGAGAGGCTATGGACACAGGGAAATAAACATAATGTTGTATTTCAATAACATCTCAAAAAAAATAATAAATGTTTTAAAAAAGACATCCCTTTTTTGGAATATTTATTGTTTGGGGGAATAAGACAATGCAAAAAAAAAAAACTCAGGAAAAAATAAAAAAGGAGCAAATTTAGAAACACATTAGAAATTTAAAACCAATGATGATATTCAGCAGCTCATTACGGTATTATCTCTACCTTTCTGTAGGTTTAAAAATAATTTTCATATTAAATTTAAAAGTGTAATCCATCAATGATTCCACTATTTAAAAATTATTTATTCTTTCATTTCAGATGTCATTTAGATAAAGTGAAAATAAACACTTGTGAATTTCATTTTCCATTTAGAGAACTATATTTCAGAATAGCTCTGAAAACACATTTTGACAGGGATCCCTCCCTGCTGGTTGGCAACAGGTTAAAGTGCAGGACTATGAAGCAAGCAGCAGCTCCTTCAGCACTAGTTCAATCCCCAGACAGGAAGATGACCCACATGGCATGACAGATCTCTCCTGTCCCACCCACTGCTCCTCTCAGCAGTGTACTTCATTAATCTGCCTATTCTGCTCCCCACTCTGTCTCTGGTGAATCCTCTCACCCCTGCACATCTAGCCTGTATCCCAGTTCTGTATGCATAAATAAATAAATCTTTAAAAAAGAAAACACACTTTGGGAACAATTATAAAAAAGCAGGTAGTGGTAAGTGAAAAGAACACCTCCTCTGTAATCCTCCTGTACATTTTGTACTCACAGCACTCTCAGCAATACAATAGACCTTATTTACATCTGTACTTTAAGTTACTGTGGTGAAAATTTGGAACTTTTTTATCTTTATCCACAGTACATGCCATATGGAAGACACTCAATGAAAGCTTGCTGAATGAACACCTATTTAATTACATAATCTTAACCTATCCTGAAGATATGATAAAGTCATACATACTACCATCAAGTTCTCAATAACTTCTTACCTTATAATAATGTTCCAAGAGAATTCTGACTACTCCCTCCACACTTTCTGCCTCAACAGGCTTCCTGGCAAACTGGAGTAGGTACTGCAAAGCATCTGCAGGGGAGGTAGCTTTACACAGATCTATGTGAAGAGCTGCAGATTTACTTGGTTTTGTCAATCGGAGCTTCTTAGTAGCAATTTCCTCCTGTTGTTGCTGCAAGAGGGTAAAAAAGACTTGAAAACACAGAGTCTGCAAATTTATCTTTACCTAGTTTGATAGAAATAAATTTCCCTTATACCAAATAATGAGTTTAGCCAACAAAACTAGTCTTAGGAAAAATGAGTGTCATTAAGTGGAAAAAGCACTGAATTGGAGGTACAAGATTATGAATCACAATTTTACTTTTTACTAGTTCCCACAACTGGGTAAGTCATTTAATTTCTCCAAGTCTCAATTTCTTTTTCTGTAACACAGGTCCAGTAATATTTTGTCTGCTTCTAGGACTGTTTTAACTTTAGGGTTAACAGGACACAATGGATCTGCTCCATTCTTTACCAGAAGAGAAATCTCAATTCTATAAATAGATTCATACTGCTGAGGCACTTACCAAGCTCAGTTTCCCTTCTGAGAAAACTAGAACTGAAGGGAACTGTGTGCAGTTGACACTGAGGGAAAAAAATCATCCCCTCACTCCAGATGACTTTTTTCACCCAAATCATTCTGCTTTTAAATGGTTAGTATTGGGGAGAGGTGGGATGTGTGGAATACACTGCCATATGTCCACATTTACAAATATTTACTAAATAACTGATTCAATTATGAAACTTCAGGAATTAGAAATTTTCTGTGAGTTCCAACTCTGCTGCTCATGATACTTAAGTTTTCTCATATGTGAAATAGAAATGACACTTAAAACCAGGCTTTCTCAAACAAGGATCTTGAGTTGAACCATAGAACATGTAAAATTATTTGAATGACTTCTAATTCTTCTAAGAATGACTTATAACTAAACCATTCTAAGTATATTCATTGCATATAATGGTGCAAAAAAGTTCATGAGAAAGGACATCTGTTACTCCAGAGTGGATATAATAGAGGGACTCACAGATTAATGTAATCACTAATTTTCCTTAACATCTGATGCATCATTTTTATACCATCAGCATTCAATTTCTTATAAATTTACACATGTATAGAGAAGAGATTAGTGTTCATCTACACAAGGATATAGTATGACATGATAAAAAGAAAAAACAAAGGTTTTTGAAGTCAGAGGACAATAATTACATACTTCTAGGGGAAACCTTCAACAAAACAGGAATAAAGTGTAATATCTTGATCACACATACCCCAAATAAGCACAAGATATATATATCAGTTCTCTCTTCCTCCTCATCTTCACAGTAGAGGAAAAAGAAAAGAAACACTAGGCTCTTTCATCACCCTATTATAATCATTCATATAGAACATAATGAATAAATGAATTCTTTCCTTAAAATCCTTACCTATTTCCAGCTTATTACACACAAATTCAGTCTAGACTGCAGCTAGGTCAAACAGTTTTATTCTTAGCAACTATGCAAGAGGGACATTATCTGCTATTATTCAACTATTAATGACATTTTACTAAGTCTGCACTGTGGTCTATCCAGGGGACACAAAAGTGATATAGGAGTCCAAACTAGTGGAAAGACTAGTCATCACAGTACCACTAAGTTTTAAGCACAATAAATAGGTGAGTACAAAAGAGTGCTCAAGGGGCCTCCCTGGTGGTGTAAAGGGGTAAGCACAGGGCTATGAAGCTATCTGCCACCACTGCAGCATGAGTTCAATCCCCAGCCAGTGAGGTGACCCACATGGTGAGACAGACCTTTCTTGTCTCGCCTGTGGCTCCCCTCAGCAGTGTGTTTCAGCGGATGTCTCTGTTCTGCTCCCCATTCTGTCTCTGGTGAGTTCTCTCACCCCCTGCACCTCTGGCCTGTACCCTAGATCTTGTATGTATAAATAAATAAATCTTCAAAAAAAAAGTGCTAAAAAAGGAGAGGAAGAGATTAAACACTTGCTGAGGTTTCAACTGGATTTTCAAGCAAAAGTAGAATTTCATCAGATAGAAAACAAAAAGAGACAAATTAACATGTTCTATGACAAATGTCTGGAGAACTGCAAGCACAAGCCATGCTTGGGGAGTGGCATGCAGTCTTGGGAAATGGAAATAGATATCGAGGGGAAAAAAGAGACACTACACAGTGAATGGACTTAAAAGCCAGTGAACTGTGCACTTAAGATGGTTTAAATGGTTAAATGGTACATGTATGTTATGTACATTCTACAATTCTCTTAAGTGGCAAGTTAAACAACTGAGAAATCCCAGAAGTAAGCCACAGAAGAGGCAGTACTGTAAAGTTGGAAAAAAAAAAAAAAAACTTTCCTCAGACACCTTGATTCACTCAGAAGTTTAAGAAAGCGAATTTCACACACCCAAAAGAAACGAGAGGGTCAAGGTTAAATCTTAAGGTTATTTTAAGAAAAATGAGAATTAGGAGCAAATAAACTTCCCTACAGACCATGGGTACATGCTACAAAAGTGTTCCCATGAAACAAAAAAAGAATGGGAGTGACAAGTTATTCAGCTGGAGGAGAAAAGAAAAAAAAAGGCTTTACAAAAAGGAGCAATAAAAGCGAAGGGACGACCTGAATTGTCAAAGCAATCATTTTTCTGTATGTACTATAATCACAGCTATGCTGTTTCTTTCCCTAGCCCACATCTACAAAATGAGGATGCTAATGCAACTCGAACAAAATGAGATAACGCATATTTTCGTTAGTTGCAAATCGCTATCTTCGTGTTCTAAAAAAAAAAATTAACAGTGTCAGACTGCACATATTAAAAATGACAACAGTTGCAGCAAAAGAACACGCCCACTAAAGTAGTCTCAGTCTATCAAAGTACTAGGCACTCAATAGTCTGTGGCGCCTGGCTTTGGCAAAGTCCCTGGGACTTGGATAAACTTCCCCACCGCAGATGGGTCTTGGGACCTTTCCTTCCAGAGCTTACCTGCACCACCTTAGTGAATTCCTCGTACACCCGCTTCTTAAGGTGCGCCGCCATGGCTGCCCGCGGACCCTGTCAGCTTCCGTACTCGACCAGGGAGGTGGAGGGGTGACGGGGGGCGGGTGGAGGGATACGGAAAACGTGTTTAGCTGGGTGGAGCCCGCCACAGTCCCACAAGGCTGCAGGGATCAAGGGAAAGAGAGGCCGCTTCCTGCTACTCTACTGCCCTGCCTCGGTACGGCCGTATTTGGTGACCTACGCCTCGTGCGCCGGGGGGGAAGGAAAACGAGAGCGTAGCGCGAGGGGGCGGGGCCTCTAGAGGGTGGGGGCGGGATCTCCGGTGGGAGGAGACGAAGCTGAGAGTTGGACAAGCCAATAGGAGCTTTCGGGGACTTGCCAGTGGTCTCAGAGTGGCCGAAAGACTGGCGCGGAACACAGGGAAGGGAGGGAGATAGTACAAGGCAAAGGGCAGAGGCGGGTCTTTCCTTTACTAGAGGCAAAACCTGGAGGTGCGGAAGGATTTTTGATTGGTAAGGTGAGGAAAAGCAGCTCAACTGAAGTTCCTGTCGTCCTTCGCTGTTCACCGTGTGTGCTGCTTGGGCTTCTCTGAGCTCTGTTTTTAATCAAGTCTAGCGCCACGTTCCTGCCCACCTTACTCATTTTCAGAAGCTACCCATCTTTTAAGGAATTCTCTGGTAAATATGATAGAATGAAACGAATCCTAAGACCAAAGGCCAACCAAGTTTAAACTGTGTCACTTAATGAACAAGTAGCTACAACACAAATATCCACATAACAACTAACCGGACAACGGCACCTTGCAAAGTGTAGTTCACATATTAATAAATCCAAAGTCATGTTTCATGCCCTACACTAAACTTTAGCTGTTCGTTGTTTCATTCCTTATTAGGAATCACTGTGGAATGCTTAGAAAAGGCATGGGGTTGTGGTAGATACAGCCTGATTATATGCAAAAGAAAAAAAAAAGCACCTTCAGAGTGCCATGGTCTTAACTGGAAAGAGAATCATCTACGTTGTTAGAGGGTTAACAGAGTATGCTTGTTAAGAGAAAAATGTTCAAAAAAGCCTAATGTCTTCTGGATGCCTCAGGAGTTTATAGAGAGGAAATTATTTTAGTGAAGTCTTTAAATAATGAATTCTTAAGAAAGATAGGCCAGAGATTATCATATATGGAAATATGGAGTGAAGTGAAAGGCACTTAACAACTGTGCCTTCAATAACTAACTGTTAGCACTATTATGGTTACCATAGTCTGTGAAATCTAGCTGCCAGCAATTATAAAGCAAGCCGTTATTTTATATAACATTAAAGGGAAATGCTGAAATTAAAGACAATGGTTTCTTATTGCCTAGATTTTTACATATACTTACTAAAAAAGTTCTTTTAAATATACTTAGCCCTAGATTTACAGCCTGTATCACAATCTTGTATTTCTGCCTTTCTGCATACGTAAGAACTTTTAATTTCAATGCAAAGTATAGGCCAGTTTTATTGAAGACATATTAAATGACAAAAGCAATATGCAAGGAGCAAAACTGAAGTGTGACGACATGAACTGCTGTGCCCAGTCCACATATGAACAACTGGCAAACCGCAGTTTTACAATGTGTCCTCATTTTGATGTTTAACTCTGTCTAAATATTATCATCATTATTATTAGATACATGACTGGAGGAAGGAGTTTGGTACACTCAGAAACCAAAGGAAATTTAATTCTTATTGAGTGAGTCAAACTGCATACAGGGGACAAATATTTTCACCCTACAGCACAAATTCCATCCCCACCCAGGCAGCTGACCCACATGGGGCAGCAAACCTCCTGTTCTGCCCACTACTCCTCGCAACAGTGTATTTCAGTAGATCCACTGTTCTGCTCCCCACTCTGTCTCTGGTGACTCCTTTCACCTCCCCCTATACCTCTGGCCTGCATCCCAGTTCTGTACACATAAATAAACAGATCTTTAAAAAAAGAAACAAAATAGCTTTGAAGATAAGGAAAAAAATGTACAACCAGATGAAGTTATTGTTATAATGTTCTCTGAATATGACTATTGTAAACAATTTTATTTCTAAATTTGAAACTTACTGATTTAGTGTTAATTCCTTAAATCCTGACCTTCAGTTCCAGAAAAACTACTAGTTGGCTTGGCAGGAAGGGGCACATTTAGCCTAGACCTGGCCTTGGAGAAAGGTGAACATCTACAAGTGACCTCTTTAGAGACATGTCATGTCTTAGATTGAGAAGTAGAACCTTAGTTTCTTGGGTAAATAGCTTTTAGAAGATGTGCTTTCAAGGGAAAGGGTGTGAGTAAATTAGGGTAGGTCAGAGAAAGAATGCGAAACAAGAACGAACTTGGTGTAAAATGAGGTCTAACTGCACCTCATCATACCAGGAGCTCTGAAACAGAAACTGCACCAGTTGATTCTTCCTTGAGGTCAGGAGTCAGTCTCCTGGATGTCCACACAAATGGGATGGTAATTTTTTCTAGAGCAGGTTCTCAAAATTTGAGTGTGTCAGAAATATCCAGAGAGTTTATTAAAGCAGACTGCTGGGCTAACCCCCAGAGTTTCCAATTCAGTTGGTCTGATGTGGGGGTAAGAAGCCTTATAGTTCTAATGAGTCCCCAGGGGTTGCTGATACTGCTAGTCTAGGGTTCACACTTTGAGAACTACTGCTCTGGAAAAAAGACCAACTATGGAACTTTAGTAGCTGACACAGTCAAGATCTGGGAAAGGAGATCTGATTGGCATCTACTGTAGGTACCAATTTGGTATTTCCCTAATGAAGACACACCCCAAAGTCTGGAGGATTGGACCACAAGCTGAAGCTGGATACATCTAGTTTGTGAGGTGAAACTACCAAGATTCATGGTATCTGTTATTTTCCTGTTGGCATCCTGCATTTCCAACCAAAGCATTGTTGAAATATTCCAACTCACTTCATTCTGACTTTTGATCTTAAGGATCTGGCAGATACAGGAGAAAGAAAGAGCAGTTGCACGTCACTAGGGCAAATACAGTGGAATCGGTGGCAATGAGTGGAGAGTCCTCAAGGGAGAGATATTTGGGGACGAATCTCTTAAGTCATCTCAGAAACTGATGTTTGTTATTGAAATTGAAGGAAAATTGGGCTCTCCCTGGTGGCTCAACTGGTTAAAGCACAACACTATGAAGCTTTTGCAACCACTGCAGCACAAATTCAATCCCCAGTCAGATAGGTGACCTCTCCTGACCTGCCTGCTACTCCCCTCAGCAGTGTATTTTAGTACATCTGCCTATTCTGCTCCCCACTGTCTCTGGTGAATCCTCTCACACGCACACACCCACCTCTGACCTGTAACCCAGTTCTGTATGCACAAATAAAAGAAATTGAAAAAAAAAATTAAAATTAAAATGTTTTAAAAAGCAACTTTTAATTTCATAAGCCCCACCAGGACCCATAACAAACAGTTCCTGCCCCTGGGGATCACCACCAGGTGAAGAGGAATGTAAAAAAGTAATTGAAAGCCTTGCCCCGCACTGCCTTCTCAGTGCAGGGCCCACGGGACACTTGATAGCCCTGCGCTGCAATGTCCATCACCACACAGTCCAAGAGGTCTGTGATCTCTGGGGCCGCCTTCCAGGGCCCGAACTTGATGACAGACCTCTTGTTTTCCTCCAGGACGCGCAAAGTGTCGGTGCAGTACGCTGCATCTTCATCGGTGCGTACCACGCACACGATCACACTGGAGCTGCGTGCAGCCATGGCCTCGGCACGCGCTAGGCGAACCATGAGCTCCAGGTTCTCGCTGTAACCAGGCACCCTCAGCAAGAATTGCTTCCGAGCCACCTGCTCACCAAAGATCTGCGGCGTGTCCTCCAGGAGCTTGACCAAAGGCTTAATTTCGTAGAATTGAGCCTCACGGTACACCTCTGGGATGTGCTGCGTGGGCAGCTGCTCTGAACGCAGGTAGTCCAGGATGGGTCCGAAATAGGTGCCGGGGCGATCGAAGAAGAAGCGGCCCTCGGCATCCTTGTGAGACCTGGAGAACATCTCTGCCAACTTGGATCCCGGGAGTTTTGTCAGTGTGCCAATGGAGGTAGTATAGACAGCGCCCCCTACGTTCAGCTGCACGACGGGAGTTACAGTTGGTATCTGGAGCACAACAGACAAAGTGAACCAATAGCGCCACCTCCAGGGAGCTCGTGACGTATTTTCATCCACAAACTAACCCAGGACAGAATGTAGGCTTACTACAGGCAGGGCCCGCTTCATAAAGGGATTTATATTTATGCTTGATAGGTCCAGACAAGAAGAAAGAAACATATTCCAGTTTGCTATTAAGAACACCTATTAAGGCCCTCCCTGGTGGCACAGCAGGTTAAAGCGCAGCACTGCAAGGTACCACAGCGCTTCAGTGCAAGTTCGATCCTCAGCCCCAGAGCTGACCCATATGGCGCGGCAGACCTCTCTTGTCCCGCCTGCTGCTCCCCTCAGCAGTGTGCTTCGTCCATCTGCCTGTTCTGCTCCCCACTCTGTCTCTGATGAATCTTCTCACCGCCCCTGCACCTCTGGCCTGTACCCCAATTCTGTATGTCTAAGTAAATAAGTCTTAAAAGAAAAAAAAAAGAATAACCTATTAGGCATTTTAACTTTCTTGCTGAGGTCACAGAATATTAGTAGAGGAGGCTGCTGTGGAAGAGTAAATCCCAGGGGCCTTTGGCAAGAACTTTTCTCTCCCTCTGGTTTCTCATTTAATAGATAGGGGTATGAAGCTGTGGTGAAGTCAGGCGTTCCCAACGGGATGCTGTGATCTAAAGTAGAATAAAAAGGAGAAAGTGGAGGAGAGGGAAGGAGGAAGAAGAAGAGTAGAAGAACAAAGGAGAAGCGGAGAGGGGTTGTCCATTGTCAACCTTTCAGAAAGGCTAAAGAAGCCATACATGTGTTCATTTGGGAAGCTTTTCTTAGGTCTACATCCTGTGCTGGGAGTGGGACACAAATATTCTTATTTTATATAAATCAGAACTTTTGAGAAGCAGTGACTTTGATTAACAAGTGGAATTTGTTTAATGAATGATTCTTCGAACTATATGGGCCATGGGGAGTAAAGAACAGACTATCCTTGGTGGTGATGTCAGATACAGTGGGTGTAACTGCCTCAAACTGTAAATTCAGTGCCAATGTAAGCTAGGTTTAGCTGTTCAGCAGGATTCTTGGGGCCTCTTCTCCACACCAAACCTTGGCTGAGCCCTAATGATGTGAGGGAGATCCACGCAGTGCCTGCCTGGAGATACCCACAGCCAGTGGGAACACAGACCAGTAGGAAAATACTAAGTGTTGCCACACACACCTGTCCAAGATCGTATAGTGATTATTGCATGTGAGGGATACACCAGTTGTTATCCTCCCAAACCAGCTTCCAGAACAATGATCATCATTTAAAATTCACTCATTCAATAAAATGTCTGTGCCTGCTTTATGTCAAACACCTGGGGCACAGTGAGGAGCACAGGAAGCCCGCCCTCCCTCAGCCTGGAACTGTGCTAAGTGTCTTACGTGATCTCTAACTCAAGGCTCACAAACATCCTTTACAGATGAAGTTGTTAGGGCTTAAGGAGATGGAGTAAGTTGACAATGATCAACCAGCTATTCAATGATGATGTGAGTTGATTCCATGTCCAATTTAACCCCATGCATGTACTCATAGTTGTTATATAACTGAATTTTCACCCTTCAAATACTTGCACTTTTCACCCCTTTCTAGTTATTCATTCAACAAAATGTAGGGAGGACCCATTCCATTCAAATCTCATGCTGAACAGATGAATACAGTTACAGTTCCAGCACTGAAGAGCTCACAGGGAGAGAAGGAAACAGATGGCTTAAATGTGTGGATGCTGGGAGGAAAGACTCAAAAGTAGGAGGGTTCACCTCTTTTTGTGGATGTGTGTTGGAGGCTGTCAGGGGAGGTTTCCTAGGGGATGTGATGGCTGCTGCTGCAGAAGAGATCTGTGCAGTGTTAGAGGGAAGCCTGGATTTCTAACACCAGAACCTTACCACAGGTCAGTGTGGGGCCAGGGATAGGGTGAGGTCTCAGGGATGTCTTTCAGTCTGATTTAGTTGTGACCACATTCTCAACTTGTCAGCAGACCTGCCTCTGAATTAAAGCACTGGGTTTAAGAAAGCCAAAGACAGCCAAACTGTTGGGAGAACTGAGTTGCCATGGTAACAGCTCCTACTGGGGACAGCAGAGCTGGCTGGAGGGAAGAAGAGAGGATGCATTCTGACAGCAGCCAAACAATACAGCCAAGAGAGATTATGCCCAGAACTAGTGGCTCCTTCTTTCTCCCATAAATCTCAAGGCCCATGGCAAAGCTGCTGCTTAGGCCTGAGTGGCTCTGTAAGACAGGCAGGTAAATGCAAAGTTGCAAACTTCAACCCTTTAATAGACCCACTGTGTTGTCATCACTCCTGTACTCACAGTTACTGTTAATATCACCATATCACAGGAGGAGAAAGCCCAGAAGGAAGGATCACACAGCTAGGAAGTGAAAAAGGAACAGCAGGGTTCAGGCCTACACCAGTCCGACTCTGGAGTGTGGCTGTCCTCACTCCTCCAGCTTCCTGCCCTATTTCTGCCAGTAATCACCTGCATGCCTGAGGCAGCTCAATTCTCTCTCTGGAGCTAAGCTGAGTCATTGATGAAATAGGGAAGCAAAACAGAGGAAGAGAAGGCTAATCTAGTCTTTCAAAGCTAATTCATTGGCTCTGAAAGTCTAATGAATCTAATCTGATTGCAAATGTCTTTTCTGAAGCTCATTTCCAGACACTTTATAAAACATCTCCATCTCTGACATCCTCAACTTCATTTCTCCCAAATAAGACCTTGAACCTGTTAAGTTTCCTAATTCTGTCCCTCTTTTCCTCCAAAACACCCAACCGCTTTGAAAATCCCAAACTTCCTACCCTATCCATAAATACTACAATATATGTTTTTAATTCAATTCCATTTTATTGCAATATGTATTTTTAACCGATAAGACGTCTTTTCCATTCCTCTTCTGGGCCATCTGCCCTTCTTCGTGGCCCCTCTTCCCTTCCTTCTCTATTAGTCACCCTACCAAAGCATTCTTTCGTGGGAAAACCCATCCTAGACTCTTTGAGTACAACTGGCTGAAAGAACATGGACTTCAGCAATCCTTTCTGAGAGCATAGGCAGAGCTTTGAGAACACAGGATGAAGAGGTAGGTCCAGCTGTCACTCAGGCTTAGTCTGCTCTAGGTAGCTAGCTAGGAGTGAGGGAACAGCATGCCATCATGGCAGTTGATCGCCAGGTTTGTCAAGGCTTGTAAACTTTGTTAAGGAGTCTACGGTTTATCTGGAAAGAAATGTAAGGTCACTGAAGAATTTAATGCTGGGGCTTACCAGATATCTGCAAATCCTCTGCCAAATATCCATACATTTCTTTAGGTCACCCTAATGGCATCAGTGGAGGGACATCCTGATTCATATAGAACCCAAACCCCTCAAGAGCTTTCCCTACCATGAGGTGACTTTCCCCATTGGTTCCTATCTCAATTGTCAGTGCCAGAAACCCAGCTATGTTCTTGCATTTTGAGCTTGTCTGCAACCTCCCCAAAACAGGTAATCAATCACTGGTGATTCTAAATGCACCCTGGTTGTTTCCCATGGTTCCCTGCTGGTAGAGAGCCCTCTCCCAATCCAATCTCTTCTCTAAAACCAAAGTCGTTTTTCTTAGTACACAACTGATTTGGTAACCCCCAGCATTAAACTTCAGTGACCCTACTTTTCTTTCCTTACCAAGGTTTCCAAGGCCCTTGGCAAACCTGGCAATCAACTGCCAGATCAGCCTGCAGCTCCCTCTCCCCTACCCTCCTAGAGCAGGCTGTCCCCGCCCCCCTTCCCCCCATGGACTTCAAGCATTTGCCACCCACTCTCCCATCAGTTAGGCTGCTCACTCATTCTCTGAGTTAATTACTCCAGGAGTCTTTCTGGATGGGTTGTCTCCTTTTGATCCAGAGGGTCCTGAACTTCCACTGTCATGGTAATCACTGCTCCTGTAACTTCATTTCTTTTAACAGTTGCCCCCAACAGTGAGGTTCTTAAGTAAAAACTATCCCACGTTCATTTTTATGCACCAGTATCTAGTAAGGAGCTCAGCAAGCCCTGGACCCTGGACACTCAATAAATATCTACAGGAGCACTTAGTATTCTGCTGAAAGTCAGTATGGCCCCACCTGGTTCAGGCACCTAAGCTGACTACCTCTAGTGGCTGGTAATTCATTCAAATATTTATTGAGCACCTAGGGCCGCCCTGCCATTGAGCAGGTGACTTTGTCAACAACAGAAAACAAGGTGTTATCCCCAACCTGCGGAAAGAGACACAGTCTCCCCACTACTGGCTCTGCTTTCTCTTCTTACAAGTCTTCCTACAACTTAACCCTGGAGAAATTAGAATGTTCTATTCCCAGAGCGTGCTAGCCTTTTCCGGATCCTACACCACAACCACCCTTCCAACTCCTCTCATTAAGCCCTGGGTAGGGGCAAGCAGGCAGGTCAGGTGGTCAGGACCCAGGCTGAGGACAGGGGCAGGCTGGAGCTGGTGCAGGGGGGTAGGGAGGTGGTGAAGAATGACAGCTACGCCGGCTGCCCGAGGTGGGTGGAGGCAAGGGAGGGGGTACAGCGCGAGGCGGCGGGCTAGAACTAGTAGGGAGACTGGGAGAGGAGACTCGCAAAGAGCAGCTAAAACAAAGACCGAGAAAAGAGGGAGGAGACAACAAGGGCAGCCAGGCAGAAAAGAGGGCAAACTGGAAAGGCTGATCTCCGGCAAGAACCGGAACGGACCCGTGGCGCGCAAGCAGAGCGATCGAAGTGGGAGGATCAGCCCAAGAAAAAGCGCCCAGCAAGCGCCGGAGTGGGCGCCCCGAGGCAGGGGACTCACACTCGGAAGGAGACACGAATGGCGGAGCCTGGAAGGCGTGAAATAAGGAAGAGGTGGCGGGAAAGGTGCAGAGACAGAGACGTCTCTTTCTCACCTGGGGCTGCACACCCGTGGTCGGCGGGCCAGGAGGGGGCTCGGTCAGAATGGGCTTGGAAAAGCGGGGGGCTGGGGTTAGGCTCATCACCCCGTCCCGCAGGCCAGGCGACTGGCACTGTGCAGCCTGACCACCGTTGGTGCCGTCCTGCACAGCTCTGCCAAGTGCGAGGTGTTTGTGGAGGGAGGAAGTGCAACTCGCTGCCCGCCCAGCATGGAAGAAGCTGGTACGGAGTGGTTAAGGGTTTGGCCTGGGCGGGATTAGTCTGGACTTGAGACCCTAGACTGGTCTCTGCCCCTGTCTAACCCCATCCCCTCGTTTTGGTAAGCCAAAATAGAGAGGCAAAGGGAACTGATAGTGACAACTGGAGGCTTTCTACTCACTACATACCTAAGAGTGAAGCACCAGCAACACCCACTTTATAGGTGAGGACAGCGAGACTCCAAAAGATAGGGTGGAATGTACATTGTTTATCCTCCTGACACCAGCAGCTGAAAGTGCAAAGCCTGCCTGTTGATGTGAAAAGCTAGATAATTCCTTGAATAGGTTATTTTGCTTATCCTAAAACTGTCAAAGTCACATAAATAACAGAAGTAAAACCAATGAATTACCAGAGTAGTAACTGGTAAGAGTTTATTGTGTGGAAGCCAAAAAGACAGTTTGCACACCCAAGTCACTCAGATCAAAACATGGACTGAAGCTGAGGGATGTATTGTTATAAAACAACTTATATAGTAAGAGACCTATTCTCAAGGGGATTGGTTATAACAGTAGACTTTTTAGTCATTACCTCCTATCAGCCCTGGGAAATAATTTAAGCTTTGTTTATGTATAAAGAGTATAAAGGAGAAATGACCCAGGTCAAGTTAATCTTACAAAATAAGTTATACTTTTGTCTAACTAGACTGCATTTTTCTACTCAGGAAAATTTCGAGGCTGGTCTCCCTTCCTTGTTGAGTTTAACAAAACCAAAGGAAGAAAAGCATAGATCTTTTTCTCAAAGAATGCAGCTGGAAAGGAGAGAGGAGATAGAGAAAATAACTTTAAAGTGGAGAAATTAAACATCAGGAAAATGCAAATCAAAACCACAATGAGGCTGTCCTCATCCTGGTGAGTACAGCCCAAATCAAAAACACCAAGGACAAGTTTTGGTAAGGATTTGGAGAAACAAAAATTTATCTACCATTGGTGAAAACTTAGACTAGTCTACCCCAAATGTGAATCAGTACAGAGGTTTCTCAAAACACTGAAAGTAAATTTACCAATGAGTCAGTTATTCCATACTTAGGTATCTACCCAAAGTTGCAAAGACACTAATTTAAAGGGCTCTATGCATGCCTATTTTTATAGTAGCCGTATTTACTATAACCAAGTTATGGAAACAGCCTCGATGCCTAATGATGTAGTAACTGTAGGAGCAATAAAGTGACTGTAGTGTGGAATAATACTCAGCTATATATAAGTAAAGAACTCTTGCCATTTGTGACAAATGGAGGCATGATGCTAAGCGACACAACAGAATGAAAAAGACAAAACACAGATGGAAAGGAACAGTCAAAATTAAACAAAAAAAATTCTAGAAATCTGACTGTAGAATTGAGACTACGGGGTGGGGGGGGCAGTTCAGGGGTAGGGAGGAAAGAAGGGAGGTACCCAATGGAAGATTGTGAAGGATTACAAATGCTTTGATGGTGGATGTGGTGGGTAATACATTTGAAGAGGTGTGAACCTATACCTGTAAATCAATATTATCTTGATAAAAAGTAATACAAAGAAGAATAATGAAACAGGGTTGAAGGATTTGTTTCTCTGTCCCCTCAGGAAAGCTCTCCCATTTCCTTCATTTACTCTCTAGACTTAACAAACATTGTTTTCTTACATTCTGAGGAAAAAGCATCACTAGGGAGAGAACATCTGAACTGCTGACCTCCAGGTGATAGTGAAAGCAAGATAGCCTCAACTGAAACCTCCAGAAACTTATATTGAAAGGATGACATGCTGACCTTTGTCCACTCCCCCTTGTAATTCTGGATAAAAATTCCTGCCCTTTGCCAAAGAGTGGGACGGTGGTCTTTCAGACACAAGTCTGCTGCCTTCCTCAATTTATAGGCAAATTAAACTACTTTCTTTTCCTCTAATTCTGCTTCCATTTTTTTTTTTTTTTTTTTTTTTTTTTTTTGCTAAGGAAAACTTAAAACAATAGTTGGTATCGGTAATACTGTGGAGAAACTGATGCACTTCAGTCAAGTGACCAAGGTCAATATCAATCATAATTGATGGAGGCAGGAATGCAGGGGAGACATCACAAGATTGAGTCGCACAGAGGACAAATAGAAGGGGCTAGTAAAGCAACTGACACAGCCATAAAATCATGGTCCTCAGGCAAAGCCTGAAGTCCAGGATGTCCGGAATGCCCGAGATGCCTGGAAGTGTGCAAAAGGTCCCAGCAGATAACAGACTGTTGGGGGCTGTGCCTGAAGCTCAGACCCAAAAGGTAAAAGATAAGAACATGGAGAGGAAGCTCATCAGGAATTCTCTGATCCTCTCAGGTTCTACCTAGGCTCACAAGGAGTGAGCCCCTCCCAAAGAGAAGCCAGCTATATCAGGGCAGTCTCCACCAGCACTGGGCAGTCACTCCTCTGCCCACCTGTGACTATGCAGGTGCTACTTTCCACACACTCTCTCCCTCTGCAGGGCAGCAGTTTCCTGCCTGCTGGTGACCTGAACCATGCCAGGACTTCTCTGCACTGACCTCCCTCAGTGGTGGCCGCTCTCCTAAGGCCACCTGCCTGCAACCATGCAGGTCTCTCTCTCTGCAAACCTGTCCATTTGAGGGCAGCTCTTCCTGCCTGCTTGTGCCTATGCAAGTGTCTTTTCTTCTCCTGTCTCTTTCTAATAAAGTTTCTCTTTAAATATAACTAAGTCTCTGTCTGTATTGAGGAAAATCTGGGAGCTCTGGTGAAATCTTTCCCAGAGTGAACCCAAAGACCCTGAACTCCAAAAGACCTCATCAATAATCATGAAGATAATACATACCTGATCAGAAGTAATGAAAATGGTACTGCCTCTGTATCTTCCTCATCAAACCCCATCATTTCAGTCCAATTATGTGGAAAACATCAAACTAATGTTAGTCAAGGAGTATTCTAAAATAAACCTGACCTGGGCCCTCCCTGGTGGCGCAGAGGGTTAAAGCACAGCACTAAGAAGCTAAAGCCACTTCAGCATGAGTTCCATCCCCACATGGTGCAACAGACCTCTCCTGACCCGCCTGTTGCTCCCCTCAGCAGTGTACTTTGTCAGTCTACCTATTCTGCCCCCCACTCTGTCTCTGGTGATCCTCTCACTGATCCTACACCTCTGGTCTGTGTTGAGTGTGACCAGATATGGGCAGTAACACAGTGGCTACCTGTGTGACCATATATGGGCAATAGCACAATGACTGGGACCGGGCCTTACATCCAGGTGTACAGCACCACATCAGCTTTCTAGAATCTGAACCTAAAGCCTATATAAGAATCACTTTCCCCTATAGCACTCGCAGTAGCTACGGACCCCACTGTAGGGAGCTCTGTCTCAGCTGCTACTTGGGAGCAATAAACTACTTGTTCAGCCTTTCTACTTCCCGTCTTTCTTCCTTGCAGCTGGTCACAGAAATTGGTACAAAACAAATTGGTGCCGAAACCCAGGACTGCTGAATAGAGCCATCCCCTGAACCTTTTCTGTCACCCAGTGTGGTCCTTTTCTCCTCTCTTATCTTCTCCCTGGAGTGTGCTTGTGGATGTGTTAGTGAGTGAACAGCTCTTACCCAGGTCCTAGTGTACTGGCTCTGACCTGACTGGAACTGTATCCTTGTACTTGACACCCATACAGCTTAGTGGAGACTTGGCCAGTAGCTCTAGGCTTGGCCTACCAGGCTTGGGGCTTATACATGCACTCCTATGCCAAGGGTCTCTTTAGATTCCGTGAGGAGTCAGGCGGAACAGTCAATTTGAGTGTTCCCTAACCCCCAAGGCTTTCTGGCCTCCCTCTTTGCCGCAACCTTTCTGTTGGTCTTGGCGTTTTGCTCCCCTTGGCGACACTCCTGTGGTGTCGAAGACACCAGGTGATCACATTGCAGGACCGAGGTTAGGGTAAGTCACCCCGATTCTGGCTCAAGAACACCCTTTACTTCCCCCTCTTCAGTGTGGTCCCTCCTAGGGCTTATTTTGGCGTATTTGTCCTTTCTAGGGCACACTTGGCTCTTAAGCCATTTTTTTTCTCTCTTCTCTTCTTTTCTCTCTCTCTACACCTAATGGTTAATTCTTCAGCCAAGGTGGGTGACTTAAATCCCCTCCAAAGCGTCCTTCGTCCTTCATCATTGGAATATTTTAAGCCTTAGACAGGATGGCTTCAAGAAAAAAAGTGTTAATTTCTGCAATGTGGTTTGGCCCCAAAGTAAGTTAGATAACGATCACTGGTGGCCAGAAGGAGAAACACTTGATTACTCAGCCCTTATGGATCTAGACAGGTTTTTATATTGCAATGGCAAGTGGTCTGAGGCACCTTATCTTCAGGTTTTCATTTATGTCCACTCCCGTCCTTCACTTTTTTAACTTTGCAGTCCCTTTAAAAATTTATTTATTTGTGCATACAGAACTGGGGTACAGGCCAGAGGCTAGGGGCAGTGAGAGGCTTCACCAGAGACAGAGTGGGGAACAGAACAGGCAGATCGAAGAAGTACACTGCTGAGGGGAGCAGCGGGCGGGTCAGGAGAGGTCTGCCACACCATGTGGTCACCTCCGGGGCAGGCGGGAATCAAACTCATGCAGAAGCGGCTTTAGATTCTCAGTGCTGTGATTTAACCCACTGCGCCACCAGGGAGGGCCTGCAGTCCCTTTAACTTTGCAAGAACAGGCACTCCTGGTCACCGACCCTCCCCCCCACCCCCCATCCCCAGTGTCCAAACCCAACTCCTCCCCTTCCTATGGATGAGGAAGGAGACTATCCTTTTCCTTCTGCTCTGGTACCTAACTTGCCCCTGCCATATCCTACTCAAACGAGAAGGGCCCTAAACTCCCCTGTTACAGGAGAAAATAACAACATAGAGGATAGCGGTAAATGGCCTGATGCCCCCATATGGGAAGGATGGCCTTCCCTTGGGATCACC